CCAAAATCTTCGGATACCAATCCGTTTTTTGGTGTCTGCAGTATTTTGGAAAGCAAGGTTGACGCTAAAAAATACCAAAGTGTCGATCACCTCAAGAAGCGCTTCGCCGGGAATGGGCCAAAATATCACAGAGCAACATTCGGGCAACGTTTAATTGGCCGTTTAAAGGCAATTCGAATCAATCTAAACTTATTCTAAAATATGATGCTATTTCCGACATTTTTTGCTTCCATTCAATAAAATTTAAAAAAAATATATAAAAATTATGGCTTTTGACCTTGTTGCAGTTTTTTTTTATCTCACCCTGTATATTCAAATTCATGTTTTTACCAATGAACTCTTTTTGTATAATTTAAAATTTTTTTACCAATGAACTCTTTTTGTATAATTTAAAATAATTAATATTTTCCTGTTGGTAAATAAATGTTCCTGTAACTTTATTTTGATATTTTTGAGCAAGTAGCCTTGTAATAGTGTAGGGTGGCAAGTAAATGCAGTTGTTGTTGTTTTGCTGTTGCAGTTACATAAATAAATAATAAATAACATTGAAAGCACATTTAAAGCAAATACCGGATTTCAATTTATTCAACATTTACAATTTACTAAGCAGACAAAAGATCGAAGAAAGTAAAAAGACAAGACAAAAAAAGAAGTAGATGAAAGAAATAATACAATTAGAAGAACGATGCAATTTAGAAATGCTAAAATCGAAGCAGTTGAAGCGGTGTTTTTTGTTTTATGCATTCGGCCTTCATCTAATGGCAGAAGTTTAAGCAAGCAAATGAATTGTAAGACTGAGGGCACACATTAGACCGTATCGATTTATTTTGCTGATTTTGTACAAAATCATATTTTATATTTATATTTTATACTAATGTTATTAGTTAGAACATCTCAATAAATACATGATATTCCCTATAGTCTACCACAGCCTAAAATGTTTTGGTTCATTTGACCCCATAAATATAGGCTTCAATTCTAACCATACACGATTGTGACGATCGGACGATAATTGCGACCTGCTTATTATACTCCCAAAACATTGTGTTGTAAGGTGTAAAAAAATATTAAAACATGTACAATTCAACATTGTAAGTCAAATTAAAAAAACCCCATGCGATAAAAAATTTTCCAAACATTACAAAAAAAAAAAAAAAAAAAATCCAAATTTTTGTAGTCATCTTTTTACGCAATTTTTTAATTTTCTCAGAATTAACGACGGTCTAAATAACCTACATAGGGGGGCAAGTTAAAATATTCCAAAAAATTATTTGTCATACATTTCTGCTATTGGTACTAGAAATTAATCTTTACTAATAAAGCGCGTATCAATTGCAAATCATCATCAATTGCAATAGGGTTCTTCTTTGGCCCAATCAAATGATTTGTGGGAATTTTTATCTCAATCGAAAAAAAAAACAGCCAAGTTCGGCCAAGCAGAACTTTTAATACCCTCCACCATTTTGAAGGAAATGGAAAATTTTCAAAAAAAAAAAAAAAAAAAAAAAAAAAAAAAATGCGACGAAAAATACCACTTTGGGGACTAAACGATGACGTGGACCTACATAAGTAATTTTTTGTCATGGACTGTAGTACCTATTCCGAACTTCAAATACGAAATTTGAAACAATTCCGTTGAATATATCACTAATATCATCAAATTTGAAACAATTTCGGTCAATAATATCATTAAAACACCGAATATCGGAGGGTACCATTATGTGAGTGATATACGATATCGGGGACCTACAGACAATTTACTTAATTTTGTTATGTATTTAACTAGTGTTATTTGTCTAATCTTGTTTAGAGATTCGAACTCCCCTGAAGAAGTCGTCAAAAAGAGACGAAAAGTCGTACCAAAGACCCATTTGGCGTATGATTTTTATTGAAATAGCTTTTATTGCTTATACGACACAAAGAACATCAATTGAATATCCATTTTACGCAGGGCCAGGTAAACCGAATATGATAATAAACTATTCCAATTAATTGACATTAATGGAATATGTTTAGTAAGAAACAGACCTTTCAAGAACTACAAGGACACACCTTTCAAGAACCCCAAGTCAAGATTCAGCTGATTTGGTTGGTGTGGAATTAACGTTATATGAGGGCTATACCATTTCCAATACCAATCAGCCTGTATATAATATCAACCTTTGTGTTCAAAGCTGTAGATTAAATAATAGGGGCTCTATTTTAATTTCAACAGACAGACAGACGGACGGATTGACAGACAGACCGACATCGCTAAGCCGCCTTATAATTTTATTCGGAACAGGAATGCATATATACATTTGGGGTCTCCGACGAATATTTCGAGGTATTAGCAAACGGAATGACAAATTTAATATACTCTCCATTGTATAGCGGAGGGAATTAAAAATTGGGAGAACAACTTTCTTCCGGGCACTGCAGTATTGCACTTTTCTGTTCTCCCAATAGTTTGTGTGTGTTTGTGTAGATAGAATAACGCTGACATTTGCATCATTCTACATAAAGATGGATATTCGGAAAGTAAAAATCTTTTAAAAACGGATTCGTTATAGGTTAAATTCTGATTTATGGGATAATGAATTTTTCGCAATTGTAACCCATTTATGTCATGGGTCAAATCATATGAGACTGATTTTAACCTCAGCTTTATGGCCACAAATTGCTTATATTTTTAAGGTGCAGTCAAAATGCTCCATATCGACGGACAAAACGTGCTCTTTCGAAATAACAAAACGAAATGGACAATATTAGTCCACACTTCGTTCTCTATAAAAGCTTAACGTTTTGAACAATATAACATAAAATATATTTTAATAAACGGATATAGGCTGAGAGTACACATCCGTCGGCATACTCGACTGATACTTTTTACACCCTCAGCCATATGGCTACAGAGGGTATATATCGGTCGAAACGTGTTTAGTCGAAATTACGGTTTTAGGTCTCTTTGGACTAAAACCGTTTCTGAACATTTGAAGTCGATCTAGCGATGTCCGTCGGTCCGTCCGTTCGTCTGACTGTCTGGATGACTGGTGCACACGATAACTCTCGAAGGGAGTATCCGATTTGGTCCAAACTTGGTATATCGAAATGTTTTTGTCAAACTCAGATCGAGTTCGGAGATGGACAACTTCTGGTACATCCCACACAAAAGGTCGAAATTTTCAAAAAATATATTTTTTTGCACAGAAAGAGAAAGGATAAACCGATTTTGCTCCAACTTTGTAAATCCTAATATTTGCATCAGTGCTAGGTTAGGTGTGAAAATGGTCAATATCGGTCCACGCTATCAAGTACCTCCCCCACAAATGGTCAACATTTTTAATAAATACAACTCTCATAAAATGTGATGCAATTTCGCACATCCCAATATTCATATTAATCCAAGGTCTGATGTTAAGATGGAATATATCGGTCCACTTCTTCTGGTACCTCCCCCACAAAGGGTCGAAATTTTCAAAAAAAAATATTTTTTGCAGAGAAAGAGAAAGGATAATCCGATTTTGCTTCAACTTTCCAAATCCTAATATTTTTGTCAGTGTTAGGTCAGGTGTAAAAATGGGCAATATCGGTCCACGCTATCAAGTACCACCCCCACAAATGGTCACAATTTTGAATAATTACAACTTTCATAAAATGTTATGTAAGAGTCCGATTGTCTTCAAATTTCACACATCCCAGTGTTTATATTAACCCAAGGTCTGGTCTTAAGATGGAATATATCGGTCCACTCCTTCTGCTACCTCCTCCACAAAAGGTCGAAATTTTCAATATCCATTAAGCTCATAAAACGCGAAATCAACATTGGATTCCATTTAAACTTGGCACATCTGAGTATTTCTATCTACACAGGATCTGTTAAAAAACCGTAGAGATCGGACCATTCCTCCTGGTACCTCCCCACAAAAGGTCAAAGTTTTGAATAACCAAAACGTTTATAAAATCCGAAATAAGCATCAGGATATCTTTATATTTCACACATCCCATTATTTCCACTAACATATCCATTGTGAAGATGGGATATATCGGTTCACTCCTTCTGGTACCTCCCCCTCAAAGGCTCAAAATTTTTAATGTCCATGAAGCTCATAAAAAGCGAAATTTACATTCGATTCCATTTAAGACTAGGTACATCCCAAAATTTTCATTAACACAACACAGTCCAAGCCTAGCACGTCGCAATGTTTACAGCATAATTATTTAAGTCCGATACGAAATAGCCAATATTGGCCCATTCCTTCGGAACCAGTGAATAAGGGGTTAAACATTTGAATAACCATAACAGAAGTCAAACTATTTTTAAATAATCGAACATTGGCTGAGGGTATACATCTGTCGGCAAAACCGATCGATAGCAGGAGAATAACTTTTATATATTTATATATTTCTTTTGGAAAATATGACAAAAAATTAGGATAACCTTAAAAAATGTCAATAACTTTCGCTTAATGACTTCGGCTATCCTATTTTTAGCGAATTTGGTTCGTGACGGCGAAAGCTAAGGTTTAAAAAACATAGCCCAAGTTGAAACCCACAGAAATTTTTATATTATTCGCAAAGCTTTTAAATATCTAAAAAAAATAATAATAAAATCCAATCAAGACATAATCGATACGGTCTAATGTACGACGAGAGTAAGATTCAATTAGGAATGCATTATTTTATTGTTGTTGCTATTGTTGCAGTGATTGTGGTGGCTTTAGTTTAAGAAGCATTATTAAAATTGTGTGGCTGTTGTTATTGTTGTTTTTTCTATTGTTGTACTTGTACTTGTTGTTGTTATTATTGTTCTTGTTGCTGCATTTGATGTAGTGGTTATGTGTATGATTTCCAAACAACAACTTTGTATTCATTTCAATTCTTGTTTTATTTTTTTTTTTTTTTTGTATTGGTTTCTTCTGTGGGCATTGTTTCACCTCTTGTTGTTGTTGTTCGCTTGTTGTTTTTCTTTTGTTTTGTTTATTTTTTCGTTTTGGGTTTTCTTTCTAATTCAAACTCACCATTTGCCCCACACTGACATCCGGCCGGGTTTCGTTGCTTTCGGTTACGGTACAACCATCGATTTCTGTGCCAGAAGCTTAACCTTTGTGCCATTGTCTTTGTTTTGTGACGCGTTTGCTTATCGTTTCGCTTGCTATTTTCCGCTTGGTGTTGAGCTTTCAAAGCAGCTCCACAATAGAGGCATTTGGTGCGTTCACCACCCCTGGTCATACTATTGACACTGAAGGTAAGACACTTGGTGACTCTGCCATCACCACCAACGCCACCGCCACTACCACCGCCACTACCACCACCACTGACACCATCGACACCGCCATTGTGGTGATGCTGTGTGGCCACATTGTGGTCAAGCATTTGTTCGACTTCCTCCTCGTCGACAAAAATGCAAATGCCACCGCGTCGTTTCAACGACGATTTACTTGAGAAATCAGGATCAAATTCTGTTATTTGAAATGCAATGGTTGGTTGTTGGATTGAGGGCGGGTGGGAATTTTTGCATTCCAGGTGGGCAAACGATTATTGTTGGTCGACACAGACACACACACATATATACATATGTATTTTTTGGTTGATTTTTCATTAGGATTGTAGTAGTAGTTGTTGTTGTGGTTGTTGATAGGTAGTTGAAGGTATTTTTTTTGTACAATTTTTTTTGTTCAATTTTTAAATATATACAAAAGAAAGTTATAGGAATAATAATTTTAGTTAGGGTTTTATTTACAATTTTTATTTTTATTTTCATTTCTAGAGATAATTGATTATTGACTTGGGTGAAAATCTGAAATTGAAATGTATGTAACTGATAACGAAACGCTTCCATGCTGAAGGCATGCATTGTTTTTGTTTTTCAGAATGACTTTCGAAAGCAGAGAGAAGTTGTTGTTATTGTTGTTACTGAGAAATGAAATGACAGCTGAGTAGAAGAGAAGAGAGGAAAGTGAAGTCCTTACATAACTGGTCTTACCTACTTTGTCTTAATAGAGGCGCAAATGAGAGGTACACTTCCATTAACAATTAGGATCTCAGAATCTGAGGTGTTTAGGATATAAATATATCCATTAATTATAGAGAAGTTTTTTCACACGGTTTGCTGTTATGGCATATTAAATACGGTATAACCTTCAGCATGGATTCTGTAAAAGGAAGGCTGCTACTGGTTGGATATGGTTTTTTTCCATTTGTTTGCCAGTACATGATAATATTTGAAATGCTAGCATGGAATTGATGTACTACATTTAATATTCTGCGCAATTCTCAATAGCTTTATCTGGGCTGCAAGGCCATTTGTAATTAAAAACAAAATAGAAAAAATGTTTACGATTTCTCAAATGTTGTAGCAGAAGGATATAACTCATTTTTTAAATTGCTCTAATTCGTTTAAAAAATATGGTGGCTGAACTTTGTTCAAATCGGATCTCTAATCGAATAGTGTAGGGACTTGACCGAGATTTTCATATCATATTTCTATTGATAAGGCATTTTGAATTTTTTTGAGCAAATTTTTAATTCTCTTTGGATTGGAAACCTCTTTTCAATATATGTTAAGCATATGAGTCCACGTTCGGCAAAGTTGAATATCCTTTCGTTATTTTAAAAATACATTTATTGTAGTTGAGAAAGTAAAATGTTTGTGAGTAAAATAAACAAGTAAAAAGGCAGAAAGTTCGGCCGGGCCGAACTTTGAATACCCTCCACCATTTGGAAAGATTTAGGAAATTTTTAGAAAAATTTCTGTTGAGAGTAAGAGTTGAGTAAATGTTTTTTCAAATTTCTGTAGTCTTAACATAAAGGTGTTTTACATTTTTGAATCGAACGAATCGAATTCATAGCTTTGTCACACGGACCTGACGATTTGTTTATCTTCTTCATTGCTGGCGAGGGCAAGTTTGTATTTGTGTAATAGGGGCCCACTTAGCGAATGATTTTTACTGAAATGGCCTATATTGCCTATACGACACATTGAACATTAATTGTATGTCCATTTTATGCAGGGCCAGACAAACAGAGTATGAAAATAAACAGTGTTCAGTATTTTTTCGAAGTACGAAACGAAACAAAGCCGATATGAAGATAGCTAGCCTTTTTTACTTCGGAAACAAAAAAAAAATGTATTTTGCTGGATTGGAAAGGAAACAGTACAAACTCATTGAAAACGATCCCTGCATAATAACATATTACAAACAATGTACAATCTAATATAATATATACCTTTTTATTCATTTATTATTTCCATTAATGGAATTTAGAAGAACAACTCTAAATTTAACAGCCATCGTCTCGTTTGAAAATATTACTTGTCGATTTGCTCGCAAACTACAGCTCTGTTACTCACATCCGAAGTAGAATTAGGCAATCGTATTGTTTGTGTACTTCTGGCATGTAAATGTTTATGGTTTTGTTTGGAGTACAAACCTATTGAAAATAAGTAAAAAAGCTGGGCCGAACTTTTTATACCCTCCACCATTTGGAAGAAACTGTTATATGGGGCTATACGAAGACGTGGATGTAGAAACAGTTCCGAACTTCAAATACGAAGTTTTAAACAAGTCCGGTGAATAATGTCGGAAAAATCATGAAAATAACGAATATCTGGGGGTACCGTTATATAGGGCTATACGATGTCGTAGACCAACATTTACAATTCTCTTGTAGAGAATAAAGTACTCACAAGGAACTGTTTGTGTGGACTTTTAAACAATTCCGTTGAAAAATGTGGCTAATATCATCAAAATACCGAATATCGGGAGATACAATTGTATGCGGGATATAGGATATCGCGGACATATATACATAAATCTCTTTCAGGGGATGAAGTACTTACAAGGAACTCTTTGTGTGGATTTTCAGACAATTCCATTGAAAAATGTGTCTAAAATCATCAAAATACCGAATAATGGGGGATACCGTTATATAGGGCTATACGATCGTGGACCTATTTAGACAATTCCCTTTCAGGGGGTAAACTACTCACAAAAAACTCCTTATGTGGAATTTCAGACAATTCCATTGAAAAATGTGGCTAAAACCATTAAAATACCGAAAATCGGGGGGTACCATTATATGGGGCAACACGATATCGTGGAACTATATAGACAATTCTATTTCAGGGGGTAAATTACTCACAAAGAACTCCTTGTGTGGAATTTCAGACAATTCCGTTAAAAAATATGGCTAAAATCATCAAAATATGGAATGTCGGGGGTACCGTTATATGGGGCAATATGATATCGTAGACCTATATAGTCAATTCTCTTTCAGGGGGTAAAGTGCTCACAAAAAAACTCCTTGTGTAGAATTTCAGACAATTCCCTTATTCCCTTGGTTGCGAGATAGTCATTCTTAATGCCAAATATTGTTTTTTTTTTATAAAAATAACGTTTATCTATTGGTGTAGAAAACATTGTCATTTTTCTGCAATAAATAAACGATATTTTCGTAAAACAATAATGATGGGATTAAGCCTGAATATATTGAAACAACAAAATAACACGTATATCTTAATTGAAAAATGTCAATATTTTTCTGTTTTCCTTTTTATATTTTAACCCATACGGATACAGAGGGTAAATATAATTGAATACGGCCAAAATTTGCCTCATCGAAATAATTGTTTTTGGTCTCTTTAGATGAAATCCGTTTCAGGACATTTGGAGACGATCTAAGAGTGTCCATCTATCTGTCTGTCTAGCTGGTGGGCACAATTTCGAAGGAAGTATTCGATTTGGTCTAAACTTCGTAAATCGTATTATTATTATCAAACTTAGATCGAATTAGTAAATGGGCAAAATCGGTCAACTCCTTCTGGTACCTCCACACAAAAAGATCAACATCTTCTTAAAAAATAATTATTTAATAGGATAAGAAAGGATCATCCTATGTTCAAACTTTGCAAATCCCATTTCATCAAATACCTACCCCACAAAGGGCCAACATTTTGATTATTTATAACTCTTATAAAATATGAAATAAGGGTCCGATTATCTTCAAATTACACAAATTCCATTATTTTTACTAACACAAGATCTTCTGTGAAAAAAACCGATTCCATTCTGACTTGACACATGAAGATAGTAGAAATCGGACCATTCCTTTTGGTACCACCCGCACAAAGGATCAAACTTTTGAATAACCAAAACCATCAAAAAATCGGAAATATGCATCGGGTTCTCTTCACATCCCAATATGCTTTAATAATTATGCGCATTGAATTAATTATTCGCAATATGTTTTAACAATTATTCGTTTAAATTAAATGTTCGATTTTTATTAAAATTTCCTAATTATTTTATTATTGTTAGATAAAGTGGAACAAAAATTATCACACATCTCATTGGGAGTGAAAGAAGTAGGCGGTATAATCCGTTCTGGAACGCTGTAATATTTATATCAGACTTATGCCAGATACGAAATGAACAATATTGGCGCATTTCTTCGGAACCACCCCTAGTTTGAATAATCATAGCCTAAGTAAAAAAATCCTTCTCTTCCGTTATCATACAATTTGCATGTTTGGTTCTGTACTTCATCGGTTCACGCTTAGGCGTATATATACTTCACCCTATTTTCTTTATTTTGCAGCTCCAATTTTCTAATGTATTTTCTAACTGAATATGTTTACATTACGAGATTCTTATTAGGTAGAATTTTTATGACGGTAATTCCTGATTGCGGCATTTTGTTGGTACCTGATATAACTTCCAACCAATTCTTGACATTTCGGGTTCTTATTAGGTCCACCATTTGGTATAGCTTCCATTTTGTTTATTTAAATATTTATGTCTCAATTTTCAAACGAGTCAGCTGGTCCTATTTTTTTAAGTCAGCCTAATAATATTTCCAGTATTTTTGAAGTTTTCCAGATACCACAAGCCACAAATGATGAAGATTTTAAGACAATTGGTTATAGCCAACAGCATCATGTGTTGGAAGTGTTATATGTTTGATTAGGCCAAAAATTACTTATCACCTCGAAATATTTGTTCACGATATAAGAAACTATGTATGGATCTTCCTATCTTGCTGAGCTGAGTCGATCTAGCTTTGTGTGTCCATCCGTCTGTTCATGTTATGTTACTTTTTAATTTCACTTTTATTCTTCAGTGTAAGTTTTTCTTACTAAATTATAAAAAAACGACCTCAGATTCTGAGTACCATCCTGCCTATCTCCCTTTTTTTCGACGTTTGAATTCCATTACATCACTAATTCGTCGAATGCAATATACATATATTAATCTTTTTTGTTTTACTACCAACAAATGCGTTTCGGGCTAATTAACCGGACCAAATGAGAGCCAAATGGGATTCCATGATGCTAATTAATGGACAAATGTGAGCCCGGCTGCCTACACCAATCAAAGTTGGCAGCTACACCAACTGGGAATGGAACGTGGCAACGTTAACGCCTAAAGAACATGGGTGTAATTAATAACATTTACAAGAT